GCTGTGGTGGCTAGGCTTTGCTAAGTGTTCTCTGGGATCAGAGTGCCTGTATTATAAGAGGGGTGCTGTCCATCATTGCTAGTCATGATGTTGTAATAGTTACCTTTCTCTTGTGCTGAAACACTATGACCAAGGCATGTTACCATGGTGGCGGGGAAGTATGGCAGCAGACAGGCATGGAGACTGGCGCTGGAACCTGAGAGTGAAGGGCTCGCATCTCAAATGACAAGCATGAACCAGAGAGATTGAACTTGAAATGGTGTGTGGCTTTTGAAACCTCATAGGTTTCAGCTTTCTCTAGCAAGGCCATCCCTGCTAGGCCTGCTCAAACAAGGCTACCAACTGGAGACCAACTGTTCAAGGGCCAGAGTCTATGGAGGGCATTTCTCATTCGAACCACCACAGGCATTTAGGGCATGAAGCTTTCATAACTGAATTATACTTTTAAATGTGACCACGTCCACATTTCATAGAATTTACTGTCGCAGCCATGTGTAGGTGTAAGTTTAGTAACACTAAACCTGTTGTCTAACCAACATCCAGACGGCTTCATCTAGAACTGACCCTCTGCACCCATTTCCTGTTTCTACCGTTTTCTCCATTTCCCCTCTCTGCAGCCCCAGGAGTGTGAGGCTGCTTCCTCCTTTCTTTCTTCTCACATCATTCTTCGTGCATTCTTTCCAAGGGAGGCAAACAAGCCTTGGGACACGGAGTCCACACGGCACTAGGCGATCCTCAGCCTGAGGATGGATGATTCTATCTCAAGGACTTGCCCTGGGTTCTGTCTGGTGTTCACACCATCGCCTGTGGAGTTCTCAGTTCTCTGTTCATGCAGCAGACACCACACCACACAGAAATTGCTTGTCACACTACTGTCTTACTTAAGTAATTAAGAGACGTCAGACATGGTCACACAGTATGGCTTAGTCTGGCCTGGAGCTTGCTATGAATGTCAGGCTCACCTCCAACTTCTAATTCCTCTGCCTCAGTCTCCCAAAGACAGGATTACAGACATAAACCCCACTGCCTTAGGGTTACCATTGCTATGATGGAACACCATAACATAAAGCAAGTTGGAGAGGAAAGGGTTTATTTGGGTTACACTTCCACATTGTTGTTCAGCATTTAAGGAAGTCAGGATGGGAACTCAAATGAGGCAGAAACCTGGAGGCAGGAGCTGATGCAGAGGCCATGGAGGAATGCTGCTTACTGGCTTGTTCCTCGTGGCTTTTTTAGCCTGCTTTCTTATAGAAACCAAGACCACCAGCCCAGGAATCAGACTACCCACAATGGACTGGGCCTTTCATTAATTAAGAAAATCCTTTACACCTGGATTTTATGGAGGCATTTTTCTCAACTGATAATTATTGGTTAAACTGGGAACAGTTTTCTCCGATAACTCTAGCTTGGGTCAAGTTCACATAAGACTAGCCAGCATACCCACCATGTCTGACTTCACATTATATATGTGTGTGTATATATGCATATACATATGCATGTACATGTAAATGCATTGTATATATATAATAAATAGATGTCATATACACACATGTGTATATATAGCATTTATTTATTTATTTATTTATATTTTATTGTGTGCATGACACACTTATGTCCACACTACAGTACATATACAGAAATCAGAGGACAACTTGCAGCCGTCTATTCTCTTGTTCATCATGTGAGTTCCAGGATTTGAACTCATGTCATCAGTCTTAGCAACAAGGACTCTACCTCCCTGAGCTACCTTGTCAGCCTGCATGTTACTTTTTAAACCCATGATATTCTTGAATGTCTTTAAGGTTTGGCTAGGATAGTATTACAGGTATTATGCCTTTTTTAGGTTTGGGTGCTGGGGTAGAGCCAGGCCTCCTGCGTGCTACATCTACGCTAGATCATTGAGCTCCCATGCTCTCCAAAATGCATTGCTCAAACAGGCCCCTGTGAGTAAGCCCTGTACAACTTGAATCGTTTCCTTTATAACACCAAGTTTGCTTTCTTTGTTTGGAATTTCCATGTTTAGAACTGATGTCTACCAGCTGAAGGCCAATCCTCATACTATGTGTTTCAGGAAAAAAAAAATGAATTAAAGTCATTTGGGAGTTCTTGAAATATCCAAACAAGGAAAAAGTTGTGTGTTCCCTTCTTGCCCCAGGGTCAGAAATAGATAATAAAGAACCGACTTCAGAATTGGCTTACAGATCGACGGCCCAGCATTAAAAATTAGGACAGATATTTTGTCCATAAGGACAAGATACTGGGCGGGAGGGCACTGAGTGCATTCCCCCTTTTTCCTGTGGGAAAAAATATTACGTTGCACAAAGATAGATTTTAATTTAACCATAATAGCAGTGTGCAAGGTCCAAGCTGTAACACATCTAATTCTGGGTCACAGCTGTCTACAGTCTGTGCTTGCCTAGTTTGCAGGCATCCTTTGGATGGCCAGCTGCTCTTGGCCTGGACTGACCCTGGTGTTGCCACTTGCCCTGGTCATCACTTTGTGCTGCTGCTGGGAAGTAGGAGGGAGGCACCGAGTGGGGGCTGTTTTAATGCCCTTGGTATGAAATCTGCTTCCATGTGGGGGTCTACGAGCTCAAGACAAGAGGCATATTGAAAAAGTACCCATCCCTCTTTCCTCCATGTGCCATAACATGACCCTCGTTATTACCTCCTCATCAGACTTCTCGGAGCCCTGCTTTTGCTATTATAGAGGAGAGGACCCCAGGTGAACTGTGCGTGCCTGGGAGCCTCACATCCAGAGGGCATTCTTGGTTCTTGTGAAGCGCCAGTTCCTCTGCCGTGTGATTATTCCTTCCATTCTTCCTCTTAGAAGACCTTCTGGGACTTCTTGATGTTGAAGGCCCAGATAATAAGTTCTGCTGACAAGAGGCATGCTTGTACCTAAGTTGGTCTTCTGTGACCCCGATGAAATAAATACCTAAAGCAAGAACCTTACAGAGAAAGTTCTGTCATGCTCATAGCTTGGGAGGCTCAGGTCCAATTCTGGCAGACTACTACTTTGGAGTCTTGCAAAGGCAAAAGATGACAATGATGGGTAAATGTTGATGCAGAGAGAGAGAGAGAGAGAGAACGAGAGAGAGAGAGAACGAGAGAGAGAGAACGAGAACACGATTGGGGACCCACAGCCTTGGTCCAACACCTAAAGGCCTCTCACTGGGCCCTTCTCAGACATCCCTTCTATACCACCCTGGGGCCACATCTTTATGTATGTATATTTGGGGGATACCAAACGGGCACAAAGGGGGAACTTGAGAAGAGCATGTGCCTTTCCATCACTATAATGTGCCTCAGTGGCAACCTTTGTATGAGGACTTTGGGGAACACAGGAAGAGATAGATGTTTTGGCTGGATGAGCCTGGCTTAGAATCAGGGTGTTGCCAACTGACTCTGAGCCTTCACCTACAAGAGCCTAGTTCTTCAGTGGGGTTAGTACAAATGCCAACCTTTCTGAGTGGTAGAGAGGGTTAAAGACAACACAGGCTGGGTCATTGCAAGCTCTGTCTCCTCTTTGCCTTTAGTCCTCAGCGTGAGAGTCTGAGGTGGGAGTCTTGACTTTTCTGCTAGAATTACCTAGTATCCATTTCTGTTTTAAAATCATCCGTGATATATGTTCTAAAAAAATATTTATTTATGACTTGTGTGTGTGTGTGTGTGTGTGTGTGTGTGAGAGAGAGAGAGAGAGAGAGAGAGAGAGAGAGAGAGAGAGAGAGAGAGAGAGAGA